CACCAGCCACGTGGCAAGGTATAGATTTATAAAAATGGGTTAATTTAAGATAAAAGAACAGTTAGCAAGAAGCCTGCCACGGCCATACAGTTTATAAGTAATAGTAGTGTCTGAGTGATTATTTTATACGTGGATTGTGGGACTGTGGGGCTTGGTGGAACCTGGAGAGAAGCCCTCCAACAACAACACAGTGCAGATATTGACAGAAGTACTTCTTAAGCATACCAGAGTTCTTTTTAAATAGTTGTTACCTGGGGTCATCTTGCCCACCTGACAGAACTATATTTTTATGAATCAGGCATTGTTCCCACTTCCCAGAACTAGATACTACAGTAAACAAACAATGAAGACAGGCCACCCTTCTAGGCACTACTATTCTATGGGGAGTCAAATAATAAGATGAGAAGACTGATTTCAGAGGAAGATAAATGATGAACTCTAGAGCCTTGGCTGGTGAGCAGCAGAGTTTGAATCTCAGTCAAAATAGTCCTAGAAGCTAGACTTTAAACTATGACAGGATAAAGCAAGAGGATGGATAATGGATATAAGTAACAGGAGGAAAGGGAAAGCTTGGAGACTGCTCAAGGTTAGGGGCACTTGTTGCCCTTGCAGAGGAGCTGTGTTTAGGTTCCCAGAACCCACACAGCAGCTCACTGCTATGGAATAATCCTCTTGTACACTGTAAGATTTGTCACTTGAACTGGTTTAATAAAATGCTGATTGGCCAGTAGCTGGGCAGGAAGGTAGGCGGGAAAGCCAAACTGAGAATGATGGGAAGGAGGATGGAGTCAGGGAGTAGTCACCAGCCAGATGCAGAGGAAGCAAGATGAGAATGTTGTACTGAGAAAAGGTACCAAGACATGTGGCTAAACATAGATAAGAAGTATTAGTTTATTTAAGTGTAAGAGCTAGTTAGTAATATGCCTGAGGTACTGGCCAAGCATTTTTAATTAATATTAAGCCTCTGAGTGGTTATATGGGAACTGCCAGCTGGGAGAGAAGTGCTCATTTACAGCTCACAACCAACTTTTAGTAAGATCCTCCAATAATGAAACAAAACAACAAAGTATCAACCCCAGTTTTATTTGTAAAGAACAAAGCATGAAAAGTCATATTTAAATGTACTCCAAAACCTGAAAAATCCATGTCAGTTTGTTCGATATGTTAAAGTGCTTAATATCACAATACTCTTCAGATTTTATATTATGTTCAGGTGGGGGAGGGGGGAGAAAATTCCAGTTCTGACATACATTGTTAATAATACAAAGGAAAACAATATAATTTAAATAGAGAAATAATAATAATTAAAAACAAACAAAAAACCCCACAGGGTACCTGTACATGTGGTTCAAGTGTAGCAGATTTTTTTTCTGTTTTACATCCTCATTTGACCTTACAATTCCTATCCACATTAAAATTTGTTTAAAATACACATTGGATCCAACCTACAAGTAATTGGACCAAGCACGGCTCCTTCCTAAATAACTAAGGATATGACAGAACTCTTTCAAAGAGGGGCAAGTTTAATGAATTTTTTTCAGTCTGATACAAATATGAATACTTCAATGTGTCTTTCTGAAGTCAATCTTGACCTTATCCTTGAAAGAGACAACAGATTTGGGAAGGTATAACCATCCTTGGATTTATTGTTCTCTTTTGCTAGGGTGTTAAGCCCAGGGCCTTGTGTATACTAAGCATATAGATCACTGAGTTCCACTCCAGCCCCTCCTTGGATTCCTTTCATCATACTGTAAAAGCAAATCTCTCTAAAAATCTTAAAATTCAGTTTGATCCAGCAGATTTGTATATGTATTTTAATAGAAATAAAGGACATCTTTCTCCTAGTTATGCTTAATAATTCAATAAACAGTTACATATGGAACAACGATTTCTAAAAACACAGATGCTTGCCAGGTGTGGTGGTGCACGCCTTTGATCCTAGCCCTTGGGAGGCAGAGGCAGGTGTATGTCTGTGAGTTCAAGGCCAGCCAGGTCAACATTGTGAGTTCCAGAACAGCCAGGGCTATGTAGAGAGACTCTTTCTTAAAAAAACAACAACAAAAAAAAAACCAAACCAAACCAACCATTAAACAAAAAAGACAGAGACTTGGAAATAGTATTTATCAAAGCAGAAGAGAGTCTGATGCCAGTCAATAAAGGTATGTTAGTACTGAAACATACAAGTAAAGTTCAGAATGCTCTTTCAACACCATGAAAAGGGTAGGTTAGTTTCTGTAGACCTCACAGAAAATACTCACAATTACCCAATAAAAAAATCTATTGAAAAGCCATTATTCTTAGAAGATATTTCATGTTATGAAGAGCTCTATTCCCAATGCTGTCAAATATTTTCTTGGGGATTTGGATTTCCCTATCTACTGCCTCATATTTTAAAACATTTTAGAGATATCACATGCTACACATGAGGTGTTACGTATAGTCAATCTATTTTTCATTACATTTACACACATGTGCTTACTCTCAGAAAAAGAAGTAGAAGCAACTTAGTATTTTTCATAGTGTTATAGTTCTTTAAAATCATTTCTTAAAATGCCATGTTAAATAAACCCTACAGAACTAGAAAAGGTACAGTAAGTACAAACTTTTAAAATGAATTTTAGATGAAATTCAACCTTTGCAAATTTTAGGTTTCCTCTATCAAGTTTTCATTCCCATTGGGAAACAAGGTCAGGCTGGGAGGCTCCACTTTGTCCTTGGTAGCCTACTTTTCCTACTCACACAGAGAATCATTTCCTAGAGCATAGAGAATTTTTCACATATAATATGCAAACCATTGTAAAGCCACCATCAAGGTGACATAAAGGTTGAGATTAGAGGTTTTAGTACTCAAGAAAAATACTTGGAGAATAAGCTTTTGAAGAAGTTAAGATTTTGGTAATTTATTTTTGCCTGCTTGAGGATAGAACCCCAGGTTTTGTACATGCTACATTAACTATCACTGAACTACATCCCCAACCAGGGCAAATTAAAAAAAAAATATTTTATGAATGTTTTATTTTATAAGTATTTTGCTCACATATATGTATGTTCACCATACTGGGTGACTGAAGAGGTCAGAAGGCATGGATCCCCTGAAACTGTAGTAACACATGATTGCAAGTCACCATGTGGGAGATGGGACCTGAACCTGGGTCATCTGCAAGTCAGCAGTGCTCTTACTGCCTAGCCATCACTCCAGCCTTGCCAATTTAACTTTAAGACAAGTTATTTTAAAGTTCTTATGTGGAATATTAATTATGGTCCCAGGTATTTGCTTTAAAATGATTTGGGCAATCACACACAAAAAGGAAACAGTTTTGATTTTCATTTACTTTGAGGTGATAGTTTAACAAAAATGCACAACAAGAAAGGTGCCTGTTGTATGGTCCTAACAAAAGTCAGCGTGGGTGGTTATGTGCATTTGTTTTGAGGAATCTGCTTCTGTTGTTATATAAGCATTTTTCATATTGATTCAGTTTGTTAGAAGCCACAATGTAAATCTTACTTCTTTTCATTTGCAATAGTTAACCCCAAACTTACTAGAAGAATAAATATTCTCATTTATCACATCCTAAGGTCTTTAGGCAAAGATTTACCACCAATGGGAAATTCAAAAGGAATTGGCTTATGGGCCGGTCAAACAGCTCCCAAGAGCCCAGCTGTGTGAACAGGTGCTACACCAAGGGGTGAAGCCAGCCTTCGAAAGGATGTACGGTAGTTTTAATCAGTCATTTCACTAGTCCATCCAAATGATAGCACATTAAAGAAAACTTTATAGGTAACTTTTTTTTTTTTTACTTTTTAAGTAACAATTTAAACATAAGTGGGAATGCAACTCTGCTCCCAGTTTTTACAACAGAAGTAATGTCTAAGAGATTAAGAACAGTTGTTGGGCAGGGCACTCACTTGAATCTGCTCACTTAGGAGGCAGAGGCAGGTAGATCTCTGTGAGTTCCAGGTCAGCCTGCTCTACAAACGGAGTTCCAATGGAGGCCAACCAGGGCTACACAGTGAGATCCTGTTTTACAAACAAAAACAAAATAACAACAAAACAATTTAACTTAAGTATCAGTCCTTATTAAGTATTACAAGAATACTGCTTCATATCTGTACAGGTAAATGAAGATTCAAAAGAATAAATACTATTAAGTAACAATGCCTTGAAGGTTGGATTCATGCAGTCTGGTGTGGTAAAAAGCATAATTTCTAAACCCAGTGTTGTCAAGGTCTCTTTGATTCTGTTTCCACCTACAAAATGAAGAAGCTGTACTAGATGACTCATTTGTGACATACTAACTTAAAATCTATCCAGTGCTCAGTGTCAGGACGATGGCCCTATGGCAAAGAGAACAATAAAAACCTGGAATGGACCATTTATAGCTTCTGGATGTTTCCCACAGTAGGTTTATGCCTCTAGAATAGTCTTACACTACTACAGACACACTTTTATTTTAGGCAAACAATCTCTGGTTTGCCCAGATCATCTGGAACCATTTTCTAAAGCTTTCCCTTCCCTTTTCTTCACATTCCCAGGAGCTGCTCCTTGGCTGGACAGTGTCTGATCAAGGGGGTGAGGCCCCTGATCTATTCGTTTCTTCCTCTAGTAAATAAGGAAAACAACACTTTTGGCAAGAGCCCAGGACCCTTAGTTCGCACAAGGCTCCTCAGAGGCTGTCGCTCTGCTTTCAGCTACAACGGGGAATAAACCTGGAGGTCTGCTGGGGCAATTTTGCTACTAACAGGGTATCAGTGCCTCATTAGAGATCTACGACTGACTTACCAGAAGATAAAGACTTATGTAATTGCTAACATACTTAGTTAGCTTACAAAAATAGACTATCTAACTAGAAAGTTCTAACTTCAGGTCTTTCTACATTGTCGTCTCTTCCTTCAGTTTCACTTCTCAGTCTGCAGCAGAGCCTTTTACCTTCTCTGTGCCAATTGCTTTACATTTCCCTGAAACACCCAGAAAGGCTTCATTCTTTCTCTCTGCTTCTGTTATTTGCATTATCATGGTCAACAAATACTTTCACAAAAGCATTCGAAATCACACAGAGACCCCTCCCTTCTTCCACATTCCTTCCATTTCCTGAGGGGGGATGGGGCAGGCGGAGGGGGTGGCTGGAACCTAACAAAGACAGGGCTGGTAGTCTAACTCTGGTTACAGAGTTTAGATGGCCAAGTTGAAAGTACTGAGTAACAACTGTTTTTTGCAGTTATTATGACTATATGGCTAATACTGAAATTCATTATCTCCAAGGTACTCTCACACGACAGTAATAACAATCCCAAGAATGAAGCTGCTTTATGCTAATCTTTGCAAAGTAAAGAAGCTATAATCCCACACTTAAATACACTTCTCAGGGCTTCTTGTGTTTTATTTCCAATTAGCCAAGCTCTTGGGATCTGGTATTTGCTGTGTGTACGTGTGTACTTGTGTTCTTAGGCAGGGTCTCACTATGTAGTTCTGTCTGGCCTGCAACTCAGAAAGATCCACTTGCCTCTGCCTCCCCAGTGCTGGGATTAAAGGTGGGAGCCACCAAGCCCTGCTGAGGTCTGGTATTTAAAATACTTATTTTATCTTTTACTTGTACCAATTGAAAAACTTTCCCCAAACTGAAGAAGTGACTCATAATTCACGAATTAAACAGTTTAAACTTAAAGGTATAATGAGGACTACTGTACAGTATGTAAAGCTGTATACACCACACACACAGGATGGAACTCCAGGACGCATGGCTGCCCTATTTACACATTTGCCGGCCTCTTCCCGACTAGCACCACTCTCCCACCCCCGATGTGTTTAAGCTACTTATTTTAAGTCACAGGAATATTCAATCTAAGAAAAGTATCTTATTAGAGTAATATAATTTCTTAAAGATAGCATATTTACACACATCTAACACATGAAAATACTCTGTTTTATACTAAATTTCAGGTTCAAATGAACTACAATACAGCACTTTGCCTTGTGTGCAGAGTGGAGATTGTTCAAACTGGGCTTCCAGAGTACTGCCCAGGCAGTGCTCACTAACGTCAGACCAGTCCAAATAGGTCCCATGATTGGGGAGGGTTCAGGAGCCAGGGGTAGGATGAAGAGTTTCTGTCAGCTGGTTTATACATCTACTCCTTTGATTAGAGACCCTTCCAAGACTATGGTGAAATCCTGAATGGTCTGCAGAATTCGGATAAGGGAGTTGACAGTCATGTGGTCTCGAAGAAGTGCGCTCTCTTCATACATTCGGGTGATGGCAGGACATTCTGCTAGCAATGGAATCCACTGTGGGAGCAGGTGATCCCTACAGATCCAAACAGAAACAGCATCTGAGCTCTAAGGAGTACATTGTAACTGGCCTTCCCTTGTGTCTTTCCTTTTAATTATCAGCCTATTGAAACAATCATACTACAATAAATTAGGAGTTTTCCTAGGAGCAGCTGTGGTGCACACACCTGTTCAGTCCAAGCACTCAGAAAGCAGATGAAGGCAGATCTGAGTTTGGGGCCAGTCTTGTCTATATAATGAGTTCCAGGCTAGTCAGAGCTACACAGTGAAACCCTGTCTCAAAATAAAATAAAATAAAAGTTCCCCAAGGAATCTTCTCCTGGGAGAAGGCTGAAGTTTTGGGTGCCGAGAGAGGAAGACTCACCCACAACAAAAACAAAAAAGGCAACTTGTCAGGTGACCTTGTAGGCCAGACTTGGAGCTTAGACAATGATGGGTAGGATGACATCTTGGTGGCACTGCTTTGTAGTTATGATCTCTTGTCTCCTATTCAATCCTTCCTCTCAAGTCAGGGCCCTATGATGGACTAGGAGTATATCTCTGTCTCTCTTCCCAACGTGGCTACACTGAATAATCTCCCACTTTCTGCTTCTCATTATTTTTTAAGAAACTTTACTTATATTTGTGTGCCTGTGTAGGTTTGTGGATGTGCACACAGTGCCTATGGAGGCCAGCAGTGGTCACACCCTCTGGAGTCAGGGTTACAGGTGGTTACTGGCTGGCTGACATGGGTGCTGGGACCTGAACTCTGGAAAAACAGCGAGTGCTCCTAACTGTGGCCATCTCCCCAGGCCACGTTCAGCCTGGATTCTTCTGTCTGTCTGCTCTCTCCATTATATCTACAGTAAAAATCTTCTCCACACATTAGTAGTCATCATCCTTTTAATTTCATTGTTCAGTTAATAACTTTGCTAATTAACTCAGTATTCCCCAGTACTCCATCTCAGTGTCCCTCTTAAACCCCTTCCTGAACAAGTGCTGGCGAGGCAGGCACTTATGCTGAGCCATTAATTCATCCTCTGCCTCTTCTGGTTTTGTTTCTTTCTTTTTGTGTGTGTGTGTGTGTGTGTGTGTGTGTTTTTTTAAATAAGCTCTCCTTCTTTAGTTCATTTTGGCATCAAATTTACCCAGAGAGATTGGGTTGGGTGTGTGTGTGGGGTGTGTGGGATGGGGGTGTGAGAAAGAAACACTACATGCTAGGAGGTGGTAGCGCAAGCCTTTAATCCCAGCACTCAGGAGGCAGAGCCAGGCGGATCTCTGTGACTTTGAGGCCAGCCTGGTCTGCAGAGCTGGCTACAGAGATCTGGGACGGGCATCAAAACTACACAGAGAAACGGAAAAAAAAAAAAAAAGAAAAAAAAAAGAAAAGAAAGAAATACTAAATGACTGAATGAGTTAAGGTAGACATTCATTAGTTTATTTCCTTTAATTTCTTTTTCCCCCTGACACATGATTTCTCTGTGTAGCCCTGGCTGTCTTGGAACTCACTCTGCAGACCAGGCTGACCTTAAATTCACAGAGATCCCCCTGCCTCTGCCTCCCAAGTGCTGAGATTGAAGACATGCACCACCATCTACCCGCTTCCTTTAATTTTTCTTATATTACTACTAGTATTATAAATATTTTTGGTGGTGTTGGGGGTAGAACCCAGGGTCTTGCGCACTTCAGATAAGCACTCTACCACTGATTTACTTTCAAGACTGTTCACTTAAAAAAATAAATTATCAGGGCTGGCAAGATCAATCAGTGGGTAAAGGTACTTGCTGCCAATTCTGATTGAACCTTGGTTCCCACATGGATTCTCAAAAATTGTCCTCTGACCTCCATATAGATTCCTGACATACCCCTTACCCCCACCCCGTCTCCTAGACAGACACACACACACACAAACACAGACACACCCATCCACATACCAAACAGATAAACAAATGTTTAAAAAAACAAAACAAAACCAAAAAGCTATTAAGAAAACCCCAAAAACAGAAAACATACACCATGATGGCACACACCGTTAATTCCAGCACTCAGGAGGCAGACTTAGGTGAATCTCTGAGTTTAAGGCCAGCCTGGTCTACAAAGCAAGTTCCAGGGCAGTCAGAACTATACAGAGAAATCTTGTCTCAAAAAACCAAAAAAAACCCAAACCAAACCAAAACAAGAACAACACAAAACAAAAAGAATTCCAGCATAATTAACAACCACTTAAAGCCTTTCTCTTTTTCTAGCTGTAAAACTACAATATCCTAGGAATCTTGCCAGAAACCCTATTTATAGGGAAAAGGCATATCTTAAACCCATTACTGCACACCTAGTGGACTCCTGATTTTACCTTATCAGACTGTAATTTCATATAGGTCATCTCCAGAGCTACCCTATAATCTCAATTTTACAAAAAAAAAAAAAAAAAAAAAAAAAAAAAAAAAAAAAAAAAAAAAAAAAAAACCACAGAGAAAAAGGGGGGGGAAAGTAATTTCTTACTTTCTTTTCTTTGGTTTTTCAAGGCAGGGTTTCTCTGTGTACCTTTGTGCCTGTCCTGGAACTCACTCTGTAGCCCAGGCTGGCCTCAAACTCACAGAGATCCGCCTGCCTCTGCCTCCTGAGTGCTGGGATTAAAGGCGTGTGTCACCACTGCCCGTCTAAAAACCTTTTGAGATGTAACTTGAGACCCACCAAAATGGTGTATATGGCTAATGCTAAAACAGTTATTTGAAGCTTTTCCTTGAGAAGCCTGAAGCCCAAACCCATATCGGGCACATCTCACTTTCTACAATTCTCCCTTGAGAGAGCCCATACTCTATATTCAAGTATTTATCTTATTTCTTTACTTAAGTGTGTCTCTTCCTTCTAATCCTTATGTCTAAGATCTATATTAAGATATATTTTGGCCGGGCGGTGGTGGCGCACGCCTTTAATCCCAGCACTCGGGAGGCAGAGGCAGGTGGATCTCTGTGAGTTCGAGGCCAGCCTGGTCTACCAAGTGAGTTCAGGAAAGGCGCAAAGCTACACAAAGAAACCCTGTCTCGAAAAAACCAAAAAAAAAAAAAAAAAAAAAAAAAAAAAAAAAAAAAAAAAAAAAAAAAAAAAAAAGATATATTTTTTATTTTTTTTTATTATCAAGACATTTTCTGTTCATTTTACATACCAACCACAGATACCCCTCTCTTACCTCCTCCCGCAGGATATCTTTTTTCAAAAAAATGCTTTCTTTTTAAAATTATTTTAAGCCAAGAATGGTGGCACATGCCTTAAAACCCAGCACTCTGCAGAGGCAGGCAGATCTCTGTAAGTTTGAGGCTAGCCTGATATACAAAGCAAGTTCTAGGACAGCTAGGGCTACCTAGAGAAACCCTGTCTTGAAAAACATAAAGCAAAACAAACAAAAACAATAAAATTATTTTAATTTTTACTGAACTTATTTATTCTTCCTTCACACCTCCCTTTTCCCCCGCCCCTCCACCCATGCTGTGGACTGAACCTCGGTCCTTGTACACACTGGTTAAGGGCTCTACCACGAAGCCCCATCTCTGGTCATTTTTTCATATCTTTAGACAGTGTCTCACTAAATTCCCTAGTCTGGTCTTGAACTTGCTCTGTAGCCAAAGCAATAGCTAAACTTGTGTCTGCCTTTGCCTCCTGGAGAGCTGGTATTACAGACCAGTGCCAGGAGGATTGGCTATTTTCTGACTGTGATTTTGGGATAGTTTGCTAATGTATTTGGGCCTCATCTATTTCCTATTTTTTCACTTATAAAGTAGGTAGATGGGGCTGGAGACCGCTCAGTGTTTAACAGCACTTGTTGCTTTTGCAGAGGATCCAGGTTCAGTTTCCAGGACTCACATGGTGCTCACAACTAACTCTAGCACCCTCTTCTGGTTTCTGCAGGCACCAGGCACTTAGCACATACACACATGTAGGCAAAAGAACATATATCTGTTTATTTATTTTTGGCTTTTAGTGACAGGACTTTGCTGTAACCCTGGTTGTCCTGGAACTTGATTTGTGGACCAGGCTATCCTTGAACTCAAAGATCTTCACATCTCCGTTTCCTGAGTGCCAGGATTAATGGTGTGAGCCACCAATGTTGGGATTCTGCTCCTTACATCACCAGTGTGCACTGGTGATTACGTGCACACAGCATGGCCATGCAATCAGCGCCGTGTGTGGTGTAGCTCTGGCATGTTCACAGGAACCCTTAAAAAGCCGGACACTGACCCCTCCTCTCCCCTCCTCCCCCACTATCTCTCTCTCTCTGCTCTCTGCACGTGCTTCTCCCCAGGCCTGGTTCTTTTGTGTCCCCCCCCCCCCCCCAATAAAGCTCTGATACTGGGTTTTGTCATGGCTGGTGCCTTGTGACCTTCTGCACGTAACCAGTGCCACTTATCATTCTTAACAACCATCCCCAGCAAGGTAACTCATTTACACACAAAATAAAAATACAGAAATCTTTTTAAGAAATGGGTAAATCAGTTGCTACTGTAACAAAAAGGTACCCAGAACACAGCACTCTCATGCATGATAACAGCTGGAAAGAAGAAACCCAAGAGAAATGGGCATAACCTGGGGTGACTTTCAAGGCTCATGTTACCTACGGAACACACCTAAGGAAGGCATTACATGGCTCTGTACCTTGCTCCGAGGCAAACTAGGATCTGGAACTTGCCGTCCTTCCCCATGCTCCTGGGTGCGGTGTTGATAGCGTTCACGTAGTGGCAGAAGGCTTTGCACGGTGATTTCTGAATGAGTACGTCATCGTCACTGTCTAAAATCTGGTCAGTGGTTTCAAAGTAAGCCACTGCTTTCTCTGAGGAAGACAAGCAGAATCACACCACACCATAGCAGTTATATATAGAAATGTCAAAACCATCATCTAATTTATCCTGGAAACTCTGAGGCGTGGCCTCATAGTCAGTCCTCTAATCCAAATCACTGATTTCGGAATGAATTACAGAGATCTGTGGTTCATGACAGAACAGCATGATTCCTGGTACTGGGATTAAAGTCGAGTGCCAACACTGCCTGGCAGTAATTTATTTTCTAATCAAGACCACATTCCAGAGGGCCAGAAGGTTTATTCTTTTTAAATACCTTCATGAAACAGAATTTGGCATTAAAAAACAAAAGAGAGAAAAGAAAAGGAGCCAAGAAAGGGAAGGAAGAGAATTATCTCTAAGAGTAGACCCTTCCAGGAATAACAACACAGTGACCATTTGACCGTCAAGACAGTGCCCTCTTCTAGAATGGCTGCCTTCAGTTAGATTATTAAATGGACCTAAACAGGCCTTGTGGAGTATTGACTAAATCTGAGAAGAGAGATGTAGCATGCAGACATCAGAGTCAGGAGTAGTAAAATTCTAAACTTTCCAGAAAAGGGGAAAAACCACTCTTAGATGCCTTGTCAATTTCCCTTTTCTTTGTTTGAAAGTTTGGAGTTCATGTACTCCTACTTTACAAACACAAAATGGCTAACTGAACCTTTAAAGAAAATGGGAGTTCTAGAATTCTACATACCTAAAGAAAAAAAAGTCACAAAACTCAGGATGCTTTTTAAAAGGTTTATTTAATTTTTTAAGATTTATTTATTTATTATGTATACAGTGTTCTGCCTGAATATACACCTTCCTGCCAGAAGAGGGCATCAGATCTCATTATAGATGGTTGAGAGACACCCGTGGTTGTGGAATTCTGCACCTCTGGAGGAGCAGCCAGTGCTCTTAATCGCTGAGCCATCTCCCCAGCCCCTTTAAAAGATTTTTTTAAATCTTTATTTTATGTGTACGGGGGCTTTGCCTGCCTGTATGTCTGTTTATGTACCATGGGAGTACAGTACCTTCAGATGCCAGCAAAGGACAACACATGCCCAGAACTATAGTTAAAGAGAGTTGTGAGCCATCATGTGGATGCTGGGAACTGAACCCAGGACCTCTGGAAGAGCAGCAAGTGCTCTTAACTGCTGAGCCATCTCTCCAGGCCCCTCCTTTATTTTATTAAATACTTATTTTGTGTGTGTACGTGTAGGGGACTTGGGGGAGTCAGTTTTCTCTCCACCTTGTAGGGCCTGGGATCAAACTCAGGGCCTCTACTAGCTGAGCCCTCCTGGCCCCAAACACACTCGTGTATTATTACTTTTTTTATTAATTTTGGCTTTCTGAGTTTTTTTTTTTTTTAAAAAGATTTATTTATTTATTATGTATACAGTATATATGACTGCAGGCCAGAAGAGGGCACCAGATCTCAATACAGATGGTTGTGAGCCATCATGTGGTTGCTGGGAACTGAACTCAGGACCTCTGGAAGAACAGTCAGTGCTCTTAACCTCTGAGCCATCTCTCCAGCCCGGCTTTCTGAGTTTTTAAAGAAACATTTTGGTGGCTTTATAATAACATAAATCTACTGAATTTACCTACGAAGTCCCAGATGAAGACATTCTTGTGAAAGATGCGGGCAGATTTGAACCCATGATGGAAAACTTGTTCCAGTGCAGCAACCAGGCCGTTTTCTCCGCAGAGCAGCACTGTGAGGCTTCCTCTCTGTAAACCATAATGTTAACACAGTGACAAGGGAATTCTGCTGCTTCTATGATTAAACAAAACAAAAACAAAAACAAACCGAGCAACACTAGAGGGGCTGGAGAGATGGCTCAGTGGTCAAGGGCACTGGCTGTTCTGAGAGGACCTGCGTTCAGTTCTTATCACTCACACTATGGCTCACAGCCATCCTTAACTACAGTTTCAAGGGAACCAATGCTCTCTTCTAGCTTCCCAGGCATCAGGTACACGTGGTACACAGACATACATGCAAGTAAAACACTTATACATATGAAATAAAGCAGTGCCCCACCCCCAATAATACCACACTAGAGAAACAAGAGCTGAGGGTAGCCATGTGGGGGTGGTGCATGACTTTAATCCCAGAACTCATGAGGCAGAGGCAGGCGGATTTCAAGTCCAACTGGTCTATAGAGCGAGTTCCAGGATAGCCAGGGCTATACAGAGAAACCCTGTCTCAAAAAAAAAAAAAAAAAAAAGCCCACCATACATATAGTTTTATTGCCCCCATAATACCTCCTTCTCAGGTTTGTGAAAGTGTTTCACAATATTGTTCACAGCTTCTCCAATTCCTTCCTGGATCTGTCCAGCATTGGGTTCTGCAAAATAATTAATAGTGTCTACATTTTGTGAGAAATAAATAAACCCAAATACTATGGGATATTTAGCTGTAGGTCTCTGCAGGAAAAACTTCATCCAAACAAGCTAGCTTTTCCAGAGACCCCATGGAATTTGCCACTGGACAAAATGGCCAAGTTCAAGGGCTTGTGATGCACTGGAAAAGAATACAAGAGATCCTGAGACTCAAATCACAGCCACACTGCCTGCAAACTATAACTCAAGACAAGTGTCTAATTTCCTCTGGCTTTTCTCAAATGAAAATAATTGAAAAACAAAACAAAACCAAAAACCAACAAGCCAACAAACATTCCTCCCTGAGAAAATAGAAAGATATTCAATGCAATCACCTGTCAGAGTTCCTATCATGAAATGTCACAACTCTCCAGATGTGAGGGGTGAAGTGGGAAGACTCCTTCCCTTCATCATTACTCAAGAGGCTCCTGGCCGAGAATCTTGTAGGTGTATGCTAAGGCATCTAAGGCTCTCGATGACCTGTGTGAAATTCTGCTGGTTTAAGGGAAGAGGCCAGATACCATGTGGTGCCCTGGCTAGAAGTCAGGCTTTCCTCCCTTCCGGACTGGTCACTCTCCTTGTTCCATTCCCCCAGTGAGCACCTGTTCATCTATGCTTCTTTCTAGACAGACTGGAATCACTGTGGTGGTTTGAATAAGAATGACCCCAACAGGCTCATATATTTGAATGCTTGATCCTGGTGGAACTGTTTGGGAAGGACTAGGAGGAGTGGCCTTGTTAAAGGAAGTATGTAACTGATGAAGCCGACACCATTCCCAGTTACAGCCCCACCTCTGCCTCAAGATTGTGGTTCAAAGTATAAACTTTTGTCTATGCTTTAGTGCCATGCCTGCCTGCCACCATGCTTCCTCCCAGACTGTCATGGATTCACCCCCTGAAACTATCAACTCCAAATTAAATGCTTTCTTTTAGAATTTGCCTTGGTTATGGTGTTTTTAATCACAGCAACAGAAAAGTAAGACAAAACCACCTTGTCTACCACATACTAAGACTAGTTCATTTATTTTTAGGGTCTTATGTAGTTCAGCTGGCATCAAACTCACTATGAATTTGAGGATGAGGATGGCCTTGTACTTCTGATCCACCTACTTTGTTATCTTCAACAGTGGAATTATGAACATGAGCCACCGTGCCTGGTTTATGTGATGCTGAGAACTGAACTAAGAACTTGCTTTTTGCTACACAAGCCCTCTACTGACAGAGATATTACATCCATGTGGTGGTCTGAATTAGAATGGTCTCCACAGGCTCATATGTTTGAATGTCTGGTTCCCAGTTGGTAGAACTGTTTATGAAGGAATAGGAGGTGTGGCCTTGTTGGAGGAGATGTGTCACTGAGGATGGGCTTTGAGGTTTCTAAGATTTATTTATTGACGTATATGGGTGTTTTGTTTGCATGCACATCATCTGCACATCAGAAGAGGGCATCAGATCCCATGAGACTACTGTATAGATGGTTGTGAGCCACCACGTGAGTGCTGGGAATTGAACTCTTAATCATCTTTCCAGCCCTGTGGGGCTTTTAGGTTTCAAAAGCCCATGCCAGGCCCAGTTTCTCTTTCTGTCTCCATCTTGTGAATCAGATGTGAGCTCTAAGGCACTGCCCAGCGCCATGCCTGCCAGCCTGTCACCATGATTGTGGACTAACCCTCTGAAACTATAAGCAAAGCCCCAATTAAATGCTTTTTCTTTTCTTTTCCTTCTTTCCTTTTTTTTTCTTTCTTCAAGTCAGGGTTTCTTTGTGTAGCCCTGGCTATCCTGGAACTCTCTCTGTAGACCAGGCTGGCCTAGAACTCAGAGATCTGCCTGCCTGCCTCCTGAGTGCTGGGATTAAAGGAATGTGCCACCACTGTCCAGCTTAAATGCTTTTTCTATAAGTTGCTTAGGTCATGGTATTTTGTCATGGCAATAGAGCAAGCAGTAACTAAGACAATCTTCAACCCCAAGAATAGTTGCAAAATAAAAAAGGGTAAGCAAATTTTATCTAGAGTCAGAAGAAGCAGGTAATAAGAGAAAAATGGGGTGTGTGTGAGTTGGTTGTGGTAGTGTATACCTTTAATGATAGTATTTGAAAGGCAGAGGTAGGCAGATCTCTGTGAGTTCAAGGACAGCCTGATTTACACAGTGAGTTCCAGGCCACACACTTACAGGGTGAGACCTGCCTTAAAAAAAAAAAAAAGGTGTATGTGCAGCTTGCAACCATCTGTAACTACAGCTCCAGGGGACTCACTACCTTCTTCTGGCCTTCAAGGGCACCCCCCAACACACATACACACAAATAAAATAAAACATATCTTTAAAGGGGGAAGGAAGTTGTTTAGTACTAGAGCTTATGCTTAGCACACACAGCTTTCCTTTCGTAGAGACTAAGTGATCTGACGGTTTCTTAGGCTAGGCATGGTAGCACATACCTTTAATCCCAGCATTTGGGACACAGAAGCAGGTACAAACTCAAGGCCAGGCTGGTCTACACAGTGAGTGCCAGGCCAGCCAGGCATAGTGAGACCTGTCTCAAAAATAAAAGATGTGTGTGTGTGTGTGTGTGTATGTGTGCGCGTGCGTGCGTGCGTGCGTGTGTGTGTGTGTGTGTGTGTGTGTGTGTGTGTGCGCGCGCGCGCGCGCTCGCGCTCTTGCACATGTGAAGGTACTGGGTGTCTTCCTCTAACAATCTACCCTGTTTTTTGAGACAGGGTCTCTCACTGGCCTCAGAGCTCACCTATTGGTAGGCTGGGTAGTAAGCTTTAGGAATCCATGGGTGCTGGAGATCTGAACTCAGGTCCTCAGGCTTGTGCAGCAAACACTTGACCCACGTTCCCGATTCCATCCACCTTATTTATTTTTTAAAAATTCATTTTCTCTCCAAACAAACCCTTGAATCTTGCTTTTTAAATATTATTTTTATTACTTTAGTTATGTGTATGTATGTGTTTGGGGTCAGGTATGTACATATGAGTGCATTTTGCATGCAGAGGCCAGAGGTGTGATCCCTCTAGGCTGGAGTTCTAGGTGGTTGTGAACTGCCTGATGTGGATGCTGGGAATGGAACTCAGGTTCTCTGGAAGAGCAATATGTGCTCTTCACTGCTGAGCATCTCTTCAGTCCTCATCTACCGTAGTTTTTTTTTTTTTAATAATTTATTTATTTATTTATTTATTTATTTATTTTATGTACACTGGTGTTTGCTTTCATGTATGTCTGGGGTCTCCTGGAACTGGAGTTACAGACAGTTGTGAGCTGCCATATAGGTGCTGGGAATTGAACCCAGGTCCTCTGGAAGAGCAGTCAGTACTCTTAACTGGTGAGCTATCTCTCCAGCTCCCTACCTCAGTTTTTTGAGACAGGGACTCTTACTGAACCTGGTGCTCATCAATTTGGCTGGTCTGGCTGGTCAGTGAGTTCTATCTCTACCCTTGCCCCAATGCTATCCTGCTCTGGGCTTACAGATGCATGCCTGAAGCTTTTCCCATGGGTATTGGGAATCGAACTCAGATCCTTATGCTAGGGAAGAAGGCACTCTACCTTCTGAGTCATTCCCCATGCCCTTCTTTTTTAATCTCCCCACCACGATTCATGAACACAACTGTCTTCTAGAGAATGGGTCACAGAAGCCTTCGCTGTGAGGCACGCCAGAGACAACTCACTGGCAGTCTTTCCTGTGAGTGAAGTAATACTCAGTCTCCTGGTTGTCGTGGGAGACTTCTGCTGTGGGGGAGTCCGACACTGCTTTCCCAGGTCTTCATCTGAAGCTGATGTCATCAATTCTCCAATAAGAATTCTCTCCAGGCTTCCATCATCGATGCCTTTCCCCAGCCACCGCCCACATGGGAATCTGATAGGGTAAGGAAAAAAAAAATTTTTGATTTAAAATCTTTTGATTCTTTGTTGTTTTTGTGAACTTATTCTAGTCTCCAGAGATCACATGAATCTACATTTTTAAAACCAGATTTTTGTTTTGTTTTCATTTTGAGATGGGGTCTTACTCTCTTGCTAAGGCTACCCTAGACTTACTATGTGAAGGCACTCAGGCTGGTCTCTAACTCCAGGTAAGCTTCACTTTCTGGAGTCCTGGGGTCACAGGTATGACATCATGACTGGCTTCCACTAGTTTTAAAGATTTAAACATGGCATTGCAGGTGAAGTTCATGATGCTAATATCTGAGGATTGTTTATTTTGTCATGAAAAATTTCAAATATAGTAAAGTAGAGGCCAGATAGGTGTGATAATATATGCCTTTAATTCTAGCACTTAGGAGGCAGAGCTCAGTGAATTCCAAGACAACTCGGTCTATTCCAGTGCTACATAGAGAGAACATATATAGACATACTCTTTTTTTTTTCTTAAAGATTTATTTATTTATTATGTATACAGTGTTCTGCCTCCATGTATGTCTACAGGCAAGAAGAGGGCATCAGATCTCATTACAGATGGTTGTGAGCCACCATGTGGTTGCTAGGAATTGAACTCAGGACCTCTGGAAGAGCAGTCAGTGCTCTTAACCTCTGAGCCATCTCTCCAGCCCTAGACATACTCTTAAATGTAGAAAAATGTTATTTTATATGTATGAGTGTTTGTCTGCATGCATGTCTGTGTGTCATGTGTATGCCTGTGCCTGCAGAGGCCAGAGTGTGTCCTGGATCTCTGGAACTGGAGTTGCAGACAATTGTGATCTGCTATGAGGGTGTTAAAAACTGAAAGCTTCAAGTCCTCTTAAACAGGAAGCTATTTCTCTAGCCTCTACAATCTTTTTTTTTTTTTTAACCAAAGATTAAATATTTCTTCTTATTCATGTGTATGTATATATGTATGTCTGTGCATGTGTGCATTTGTGTGTGCTTCTGTGCACATGTGTGCAGATGCATGTGAGTACCCATGGAGGCCAGCAAAGGCACTGGATATCCCAGGGCTGTAGTTACAGGTAGTTGTAAGCTACCTGAGGTGGGTGCAGAGATCTGAACTTGGGTTACTTGGAAGAGTACTAAGTGCTCTTAATTGCTGAGCCATCTTTTCAGCTCCAATATTTTTATTATTATTATTATTATTATTATTATTATTATTATTATTATTATTATTGTCTCCATGTAGCCTTGGCTGTTCTGGAACTCACTTTATAGACCAGGTTGGCCTCAAACTCACAGAGATCTGCCTGTCTCTGCATCCTGAGTGCTGGGATTTAAGCACCCACACCTGGCCAACTTTATGTACTATAAATAGAACAAAATAATACATCCCCCCAAAAAACTAGTTCAGGGGCAGTGGGAAGGCTTTAGGAAGATTTAAAACATTTTGTTACCTAAAGAGCTTTGAGACAAAGAATTCTGCTCCTAAGTCTATTTACTCACCTATATGTATGTCCTGTGATTTCATTTCTCACCATGACACAATCCACTAGCCATTTAGCTAACAGTCCAGAGTTATCGTGGCCAATCTGAACAGTAGTGAGCTTTCCCAGGTTCTGGCACTGTAGAGACAGGACCACAAATTATTCTGTACTCAATTCTTTTCTATTCCCTTTGCTTTGGCAGTGGACTCTGGCTCAATCTAATACTTACAGAGACCTACTCTGTACAATGTGCTAAGTTTAATACCATAGACAGCCTCCATGTATTCTTTGCTCTCAGGGACTTTCATACAATGAGACAGGAGATGGACAATGACTACCAAATGGGGTGGAGTGCTTGAGGTGCTGGACTAGAAATGTAAACAAGTCTTTGAAGAATGCTGGAGAAGGAACATTTACTTCTATTTGGGGAATCAAGAAACACAATCACTGACAATGATTTATGTCTTAACTGAAGGGTAAAAGGATTTCAGCAAGTAGGGGAAGGTCTTACTTAGATTGACTTACAGCAAAGAGCCGATTTAAAAAATCACTAACTGATAGTTCAGTGGTAGAGTGCTTGCAGAGCATGGTCGAGGCCCTGATCTATTAGAAAAGTTTAAAAAGCTATTTGGAAAAATCATCTTACCTACAAGGGATATATTCTCAGACTCCCAGTATGTGCATGAAATGCCTTAATATCAAACCTACATATACTGTATTTTTCCTATATGCATTGCAATGTTGCCACACATACCAGAGTTTTTCCATGTTTTATGGTCTGGATCCTTCTCTGCAACACTACTCTTATGCTATGGGGCCACTAATAAGTGAAATAAAGGTTACATAAACAAGAGCAACTCCCACACCTAAATAGCTAATCTGATAACCTGAATTCTTACTAAGTAACAAATGGGAGGGTAGCACATACATGTCATGTTAGACAAAGACAGAATTCATGGCTGACACAGGAACAGCACAGATTTCATTGTGCTATTTATAATGGTTTACAATCAAAAAACTTATAAATTATGGACTAAGGGTATAGCTCAATGGTAGAATTCTTGCAGATCATGTGTAAGGCCCTGGGTTTGTTCCACTGTAACAAAAACCAAGAATGTGTAAACAACTCCTACACTCAAAATTTTTAATTTCTGCTTTGTTTCTGAGACAGTTTTGTTATGTAGCCCAGGATGGCTTTGAACTTGCAGCATTCTTCTGCTTCTATCTCCTGAGTGCTGGGACTCTAGGTATGTGCCACCATGCCTGGCTCTTTATTTTTATTTTTTTGCTTTTTGAGACACAAACTCATGTAACCCAGGCTGACTTCAAACCTGCTATGTAGCTGAGGATGGCCTTGAACTTCTGACCTTCCTGTCTCTGCTTCTCAAGTGCCAAGGTTATAGGAATACACCACATGCTCAGCTTTTACGAATTTTTGTTTTTGGAATGTTCCACTTTATATTTTTGGACTACAATTAACACCAGGTACCACAACTGTAGAATGTGAAATTATGAATGAACTGTAGTTATTAGTGTCCTTGCTGGCCCTTTGTGGACAAGTACAAAAAGCAATGGTAAGAGGAATTGCAAAAAATGGATGCTAATTAAATTCTGACTTAAAAAATCTGATAATGAGAGGATCACAGACTGACTATAAGCTGGACTGAAACATCAGAGCTGCAAATTTTAAAAGCATTTGTCGTCTTTGTGTATCAATGAAAGGCATCATGTGACCCAGCTGAGAAATGTAGCTACAAGGAGAGAGAGAAAGAAGATGGGACTTACAATACAGTTTTTGTTCCACAACTGGTAGGCTAAAAAAAACCAAGGTTTTTAACTTTTACACACAAATAGATATGAGTCTGCCACATACATAAAACCAAATGGACCATTGGGCTATGGATTATGATTCCAAGTGAAAATGGCTATTCCTGGGCCCCAAGGAACTTGGATGAGCATAGAACATTCAGTTATTACTATTTCTCTCCTGAAATACAAAGAGGTTATTTTAATCCTCAAATATTAGGAACAACCTGAATATGGGTTCAAACATATGGAAATACTCTACTAGAGCGCATGCCTTTAATCCCAGCACCTGGGAGCCAGAGGCAGGCAGATCTCTGAATTCAAGGCCAGCCTGGTTCACAGAGTGAGTTCCAGGGCAGCCAGGGCTGTCACATAGAGAAAACCTGTCTTGAAAAACAAAACAAAACAAAACAAAATTCTATAAATGCTGCTTTGTGCTTCAAAAGCCATAAGCATGGACATCAGTTCCCTGGTCTTAGAGAACCACTTCAGGGGAAGCATGTATTTAACATTCTTTGTTTGCCATGTTCTGTGTTAGGCACTGGGAATCAAGGAACAGGACCTGGTAAAGCCTACCACAGTAGAAAAATAGGGTGTAACAATGAAAATAGAAAGCAAACTAGTGTAAGCCTCTTGAGACAATAAGGATATAACAAATGACCCTATATGTTTGCATGCTCCTTTATTTCATTTGTTTCAATGAAAAAGCAAAACCAGAGTTCTTCTAAAGAACTCAAAAGGCATTAGCTAACCCACCTCAAAAGTCATCTCAAGCAGGTTTTTTGGAATCTGCATTACTCCTGTGTCTCCTAGCTCTCCTGAGACACAGATCCACGGGTTTGATGTAATGATCGCATTGCTCAGCTTTTTAATTGGAATGATCACTGATCTATAAGGAATCACTGAAAGAAAAACACAGAAGTGAATTAAAAAAAAATCACAACTATCCAGAACTAGATGCTTTTAAGATATACTTTGCCATTTATTTATTTATTTATTTATTTATTTATTTTTATTTTTTTATTTATTTATTTATGGAGGCAGGGTTTCACTGTGTAGCTTTGGAGCCTGTCCTAGAACTCGCTCTGTAGACCAGGCTGGGCTCAAACTCACAGAGATCTGCCTGCCTTTGTCTCTCAAGTACTGGGATTAAAGGTGTGCGCCACCACCAACCAGCTATTTTATTTTATTTTTATGTGCATGGATGTCTTGCCTGCATGCATGTATGCACACCACATCTGTGTTAGTGACCACCAAGGTCAAAGGATAGAGTCAGACTCCTGGAACTGGAGTCATAGTACTAGAGTTATGTGGGTGCTGGAAACTAAACCTAGGTCCTCAGCAAGAACAAGTGTTCTTAGGCACTGAACCATCTCTTTAGCCTCTGATATTTGGCTTTTTATGATCAATTTTTAAGATATACTCATGAGGGCCAGTGAAGTGGCTCAGTGGTTAAAGGTACTTGTCATCAAGCCTGACAGCCTGAGTTCAATCCTGTGCACAGTGGAAAGAGAGAACCAATTCCTATAGAATGCTAGGATTAGGTTATTGAGGTAACTCATATGCACAAGGAATTTGGGAGAGCCAGATGTGCTGAGATATACATGAAGCCTTTCCAATGGCCTCACCACTAGATGTCGCCATGGCATCATGGACCTTGGCTAAATGTAAAAGTATGAGAAAATTTGGAATTTAAAGCAGAAATCATGTAAGAATGCTGCTGTTGGCTCACTCATGGGTTCACACTTAGCTAGCTTTTTTATACAGCCTGGGATCACCTGTGCAGGTGCAATGCAACCCACAGTGGGCTGGGACCTCTTACATCAATTTACAATCAAGGCAGGGACACACACACACACACACACACACACCCTAACGGACATGCCTACAATCAAGGCAGGGACAGACACACACAGACACACACACACACACACACACACACACACACACACACACACACAC